GCACAGACAGGAGCAGTTCTCTCTGTGCCCAGAGAGGCTCCTGCACTCTGAAGATGCCGGTCACAGGTGCTGGCGAAATGTTGGAAACAAAACTTCCAGAACACGGCCACACAGTCCGGAAGACCCACACCAGCCACAGTTTTAACTATGCTTTATCCAAATAAGCCAAAATTAGAAATCATTAATGCTGATTTATAATAGCCAAGTGAATCATAGTTAAAATTAATAGTTATAATAGCCAAGTGAATCATAGTTAAAATTAATCAGTTTATCTTAGATCAAGATAGATCAAATACAGTTAATTGAAAATGGAAGCTACCAGAAAAAAAGTCTGAGGAATTTTCACTTCAAATTAAATATTAGTGTCCTGCTCAAATGCAGCAGTGTAGTATTGTAAGCTAGTGTAGGCCAAATAAAATCTGAGGCTACTGTTTCATAACAGTCTTAGCTAGATGTTAGTGGAACACTAGGGACTCTTATGGTAACCCCCAGACTTGTACTCTTCAGTTCGTAAGAATTACAGTTTCCAGAATTCCTAGACAACACATCCAGTTGTGGCATTACAGCCCACTATTTCTGAGAGACTGTAGCTTAAGGAATGTTGCTCTAGGTAATAAAAACTGATGCTCTATGTATATATATATGTATGCTTTCTGTGAATGTATGCATATGAATAAGCAATAAGATTATTTAAGTTCAGAAGTGCTCATTGGTGGCAGCCAGTGAGTGTACAGACAATCTGTGGAAATCCACCAGGTGATATAATTTGTTCTTAAAGATGAGGAGGAGGAGGAGGAGGAGGAGGAGGAGGAGTTAAAAAGCTGAATGGGAATCACATGCTGCATAAAAAGTGATCCTCCCTAAACTCCCTTAATCCATCAATAAAAAAATATAAGTAACTGCTGATTTTGCTTCTATTTTTATCACATCCCAGGACATGATATAACTTGGCTTTATGGGTAGGCGAGTGGAGATTTCATATCAAGAAAATGGAGACATAACCTCAATAGGCTAATAGTAAGGATTGTTTCCTCCAGTTTTATAACTCTGTACCTAACCAGAGCCCCTTTTTCAGGATCTCTTCAGCTGTTTCAGTGCTAAGAAAAAGTAATGAGAGCTAATTGTGGTTCATATGAGTCACATTGTTTTGACACTTAATAAAAGGATTAGTGATCCTAATTCTTCTGCTGAAGTCATTCTGCTTTTCTTTAAGCTCTTCTCATTAAAAAACACAACCTGCTACGATCAATTTCTAATATTCTGTTGTCACAAAAATAAATTAGTGTGCAAATCACAGTATGTTGTAATATATAAGTCTCAGTGAAAACAGTGCAGTTGCTGGGTTATATTCTTAAAGTTATACTACATGACAGATTGAATCTTCAAATAATAATGGTTATCACTGCTATCTTATAATTTGCCTGAGATCAGATCACACCCAACTTTAGTCAAAAGGCTTACATTAAGTCAGTAATTCCCCAAAGTACAACCCAATCACTAATTCCTACAAATTTAATATGTCTAGTTTTTCCAGGAAGACAATTAAAAAAAAGTTTTATAAATACCTCAAGTATTATGAAATAAACTGTCACAAATAAATTGTAAATAAATGAATTTGTTTTTTAAAGAATGGATCATTAGGAGAGGAAGCAAATATAAAACAAATGAGTAAATATGATGCAATTACATTTGGAATGTTATATACAGCTCTTATTATTGTATCTCAGAAAGAATATTATAGTACTTGGATGGAATTGGAAAAAGGCAAACAAAGCTGCAGTGATGAAATATTTCAACTATTGGGCTTACAACTTTAGACAAAAGGGCAAGGACATACTATAGAAGTACGGTATGGTATGTATAGCAATAAGAAAACTGTGTGGAAAAGGCAACTTTTCTGTCTGTCTCATAACATCAGAATCTAGCATTATCCAATAAAATAAAACAGCTGGACAGACCTAAAAAGTATTTTTTACTAACTGTATGGTTCATTTATGAAACCCTTTAGCACAAGATAAGGTGGTGGGCTCCAAAAATTCATGGACATTAATAATATTGATGGCTATTGATTTTATTGATACGCACCCTCTAAAATTGAAGGCACAGAACTGGTAACCAAAATGAGGGAAGTCAATCACTATTACATCCAACTTAATTCTGTGCATCTCACAGATATCTGGCCAATGTATAAAGCAACAGATGAACTAGATAGGCCTTTATTGAAGAAGAATCTTTTTATTATTTTATTGATTTTTTTTCCTTAGAAAATTAATAGAATCAGAAAACCCAGTTAAAATGAATGTTTGAAAACACACTCATAATCATTTTTGAAATTCTGTCAGTTTGAGAGACTGTTTTCTTCTTTGGCTTTGTTGTTGAGAAATCCTGTTCTGCATATATTAATATAAGTTGTTAGCATATGCTGGGCATTGTATTTTTTTTTCCAAGCACACAAAGCATGAAATATCAAGATCACTATCAGAACTATAAAATATATTTTTAATCACTGACATATTAAAATCATTAAACGGGCACATACTCATTTTACTAGCTACATTTATCTCTTGCAGATGCAATTTTTCCAGAATGAAACTGTAAATCAAAATATACGTCAAACTTAAGATGCTAAAATGCTCTGTACACAATAAATGAAAAACAGCACACAATTACCTAAAACTATGCACTGTATAAATAACTCTTACCTTATTAGTATCAAAAATATTGAATACTTTCTCAACATAATTATTTGCCTGGATAGTTGAATTTTCAAGACGAAGGATCTTCTTGCATTCATACATGGTGAGTTGTCCTGATGGGCATTCTTTCATGAATTTTGCATACCACTGGTGGTTTTCCATAGCAATGATTTCGTCCATTGATTCAGTGGCACCCATTTTGAGGCAATTACTTTGTCCTTTCTGAAATTTGTTTCCACAACACTTCCACAAACACTTTCCCTCACTATCAGTGGCTCATGTCTAACTGGGATAGAAGGAGAAACTCAGAGGCATGTATCAACTGTAAGCATCTTAAGATCATTATAGATTTAGTTTCAGTAAAAATAGAAGTGGGATTACCTTCAGCTCTGCAAGTTAATATAGATAGGTTTTTATAATAAGTCCAACACTCCCAAATGAAATGGAAAAGTGATGCTCTTAAAAGTTGTATTATTCATGAAGAAAAGAAATAGGTATTATGATTATATTACTAATCATTATTATATTTTGTATGTCCAGAAAAAGAAACCTGCCCCATTAAAGTTCAAGTGAGCCCATAATATTTTTTTTATAATTTTCCTTTGGAAAGAAAGAGTACTGAAAATAATCATCCTCCGCCATGGAGCTCTTCAACTTTCTTAAGAAAAAAGGCCCTCATCATCCTGAACTTCACTAGAATGAATATTCGGTTTGCACTCTTTGTTTATACCTGATTAATAAAATGAGCTTCCCTTGGTATTACTGGGATTAATTCCTGGTTATATAAAATAAACATTCCTCTAACATCCCCTGCCCTCAAAAAACTGCCGTCCATACCCAAGTACAAATCTGTTTTAAAAAAGGAATAATTTGTTCTCCTTTCCCAAGTTGCAGCAGTTGTCTAATTGGATTCCACTCCCATTCATTGCTATTCTCAGTTTCATTTGTTTAGAATTTCTAAATCTAGAAATTGAAGTTTAGAAGTTGAAAGCATCTGGAGAGGCTAAGTACATTTTTTATGCACGTATTTTATGAACAGTTTATGTGAAAGTAATTCCTTTTGTACACATAAATGGAAAGGTGCATATCTCCAGAAGTTGCAGCTCAGCTCAGCTGTAATATTTAATATGACAGAAGAAGAAAAATTATTCAATATATGAAAGGGTATCATATTAATTGTTTTAAATGAATTAAATTCAGCTTAAGGCATAGTTTCCTGTACTATTTCCCCCCTCCCCCTGCCCACCCCCAGCCTATGTTATTGAGTAAGGGTAGGCATAGTTTCCTGTCCTATTTCCCCCCTCCCCCTGCCCACCCCCAGCCTATGTTATTGAGTAAGGGTAGGCATAGTTTCCTGTCCTATTTCCCCCCTCCCCCTGCCCACCCCCAGCCTATGTTATTGAGTAAGGGTCCTGGTATATCACTCCAAGGCCAAATGGGTCTTGGCCCGAAAAATTCTCCACAGCTTTGAAAGGCAGTGTCCCCCCCCACACACACGCGCGCCACATTACAAACTTTGTCATAGGGACGATTGTTATGGTATCACTTCCTACTCTTCTGTAATGATCTCAACCTACCAGAAAATGCAAACTAACTATTGTGCTGGCCTAAATTCTTTCTTCCCATTGCTTATCAACAGGACATGACATTTTTGGAGGCTTTGATTTCATACTGTTTTTTCCACTGAAGCTTCTATACTTAGAATGAAGGCTGTGGGGAATCTACTAAATTATGCATCCTGAGCTGTTCCATTCTCAGGAATCCAGCAGAGCAGAAATTCTAAGTCCATAAGATAAACCAAAATAGTCCCTCAATAATACATGCACACACATAAATACAGACAAACACCTTCCTCTTGGTAGAAACAAGTTAAAAAAAAAAAGCAATAAGTACTATTTACAGAAATTATCCATCTTTTATCTTTTTTTTTTTTAAAAAACTTAGACCAAAAATACTGTTAAGTAACATGTTTATGAAATTGAATTTTTAGTGAAAAGTCATATTTATGTAATTTGTGCACCCAAATCAGCTCTCTATATGCCATGATGGTTACTGGATGTCCGTGAAGGAGAATGTTCAGTAGCTAGTCTGGACTGCCAGAAGAAAACACAAAGAATGTTTATTCTACTTTCCTATCTCCTAAAAATGAAAAGGCCAGTCATGTGGACAAAAAGAAGATAACCTACTACAGAAACCTTTACATTTATTCAGCAACAAAGTACAATTTCATAGAACTAATGTACATTCAGACAGCACTGCACACAATTTCATGAATTTGGAACTCAAAGGAGCCTACACCAATTTCCTATTTGTGAAAATAACAATCTGCAATTCTCCCTGCCTTCAAAATTTAACTAGTTTGTTAAGAGTGCATCTTTTCTCCTTTACACTAATTATGTTTGTATCCTATTCCTCTATAGAAGAGTGAACCTGGGTCCTTGTGTTTAGTTAACAGTTTTCAATAGATGTTCTCAGCTGCTTAGAAATGTGAACACAAGATCAAGATAAATGTTCCTTGCCCATAGAAGTCCTACTGACATATCCAAAGAGCACGTGTTTACTGTGCATTACTTAAAAAAAAGGGGGAGAGGATGCTGGTTAATGTCTGAAAAAGATTCAAATCTGTGTCTTCCCAAGTGTATTAGACTGGACTCCACTCCCACATGCATAGTGAAAAGATGCATAGCTGTTTTCTGCGTCTTTTGACTATGTAAACTTTACTGATAGACATGTCTGACTTGGTAATGGAAGGATTATTCAATAATATAAGCAATATCCTTAAAGACAGGCAAATCTGTAAGTTTATTAGAGGAATGTATTATTACAGGAATGTATTAATTAATCAGCCTCATATACTATATACTAAGATTTCCAATGGTTTACAACACATGGTAATAAAGTAATGACTAATAAATTATATCAATTTAAATTAAATTAAAATGTCCATGGTAATAATACTTCATAAATCATTTAAATGTTCATAAAATAACTGGAGCATCATAACACAACCAACTATCAGTGTTATCTAATCAACTACCGAAAGCCCACTGGAAGAACTCTGTTCTACAATACTAGAGACATAACAAAGAAATAATGTGTACTGGCCTTGGCCCCTACTTACCTCACAAAAGTGGGGAATCAATAAGAGTTTTTCCTGAGCTGAGCATATTGGATGGATTGTTCCCAGCTGGAGAAGGCAATCTTGCAAGTACCGTGGTACTAAATCATATAGAGCTTTATAAGTTAAAACAGCACTTTGAATTCTACTGGCAGCCAAAGAAGAGTCTACAACTTAGGTGTAACTTGTTCTTCATGGTAAGTGCCAGCTAACAAGTGCACTGCTACATTCTGTACCTTATTAGAGGAAATGCCAGGGAATCTCAAGGATTTACCCAATCCACATGTAAGTCCACTTTTAAAGAAATGTTCTGTTCTATAACAAAAAATCTTTCAGAGATTACAAAATTTTTGACTGATTGCTTCATAGTTTTTTTTGTAACCAGTCTGTAATAATTATTACCAAACTAGGATAAGTAAATGTTTGCTAATAGTCTTTTCTGGATTAGTTGGACTACAACTCCCATTGCTCATTCATGGGGTTGACCTCCACATGTATTGGTATGCAAGCTATCAGCTACTCATTTCAAAATTCCTTAAGCCATGCTTAAAAAAAAATTGAGAGTAGCTGGTCCAAAATGTCTAGACATCCTCAGATTGAGGAAATCTGTACTAACCCATGGACTAAATGGTCAGTTAATTTTGGGATATAAACCCAGTGGTGTCCATTCCCTGGAGAAACATACAGAAACTAGATTTATCTCCTTGCAAACACCTGAAATGTGGTCTGAGAGATTAGAAGATGCACAGGAAGAGATTTGAGAGGTACCTAAGAGTTGAGCTCAGCTTGGGGCATCTTTATCTTTTATAAGAGGTACAGGCAGTAGGGAAGAAACAAAAAGCTCTAGTATATAAGAAGCTTATTCATATATTGTTTAATAAGGCCTTCTAATAGCTGGGCAGCAGAACTTTGGACAACAAATGGCAGCCAGAGTTTGGGTATCCTGCATCTTTTTGCTGCCACCTAAGGGTTGTCAATTCTTGCAATATCTTGCCCTATTTTTAGCTTAGTATTATTCCCTGTATTAGCTATCCCAAGTTGACATCCTCTAGATGTGTTGGGATTGCAACTACCAGAATTCAGATCATGGCAGAAGGAATTCCGAGATGACTGGTTGATACTTTCTGACAGCTGCAGACCAAGTACATCTAGAAGATATGGGTTGGAGAAGGCTGCTATAAGTGGATCATGAAGATGGCAGAAGTTGCAGACATGGCTAAATTGACTTAAATAGGTCATTTAAGGGAAGGTGCAATAAGTACTTTTATAAAAGACTGGAATCCCTTTATGGACTTTTTACTGAAAATAGATAAAAATGAACTGGTGATCTCTGGATTTACTGATTAAAAAGAGCTGAATATGGGAAGAAGGGAACTATGTTATGTAATTTGAGAGGGCAGAAACAGTATTAACTACCTAACTGATGCAAAGATTGGAAGTCACTTAAAAAAATTTTTTCTTTTTTATTTCTGGATCTGGATTTCTAGTAAAATCAAACTAATTCAAGTTAATATAAAAGTTCAAATATTTTACACCCAAATTCTAAACCATATGAATAAATGACACACAATATTCCCTAATTCCCTAATTCCAAATTCCACTAAGCCACAATCGTAATATTCCTTGCATACATTAGCTATCATATTCATAAACATTGCACATATACTTTTCTCATTTCAAGAGGATTTACTGTATAACATGGCTTTCTCTCCTGTTTCTTATTTTTATTGTTATAAAATTCATATATTTAAATCCTATTTCTTTGTAAAGTGACTTGATTTTTATCAATATCTGTATCTAATGTAAACCACATGAATTCCAAACTTGAGTTAATTCATCCATTGTATCCCCATCCAAGGTGATATGATGGATAAATACAATCAAGTGTAGGCTTGAGATGCTATGAAGGTTCTGATTTGGTTTACTATTTTTAATGATGTAAGTCATATAGTCTTATGGACTTAGTTGATCTTTAAATTGCATAAACAAACACATTTGTCAGGTACCTAAACCCACCATTTGTTTCCATTGGCAGGTGATGTTTGGTGGGAGGGAAAGCAAAACCAAGGGAATTCTCAAA